ATGAATCTAGTGATGTTTCTCTATTCGGTGACACTATCCCACCCTCGCGTGACCCCACTCGACGTGCCCTCCCGTTCGACCGCGTGCCTCTGACATTCATCGCCCACGCACCACGACGCTGCTGCCGCCGCCACCGTGCCACTGTGGGAACGTGCCAGCTCGCACGGGGAAAAAGTCGCGTCTTTATCATCCGTTCAACGACTGTGCAAACTTTCTCCGCTTCGCGGAGGGATCCCACGCGTTGACCTCTGACCGCGAGGGCGCAGACGATCGATTTTAGAAATCGATCACTGACTCCCTCCCAAAGTCGGGCAGTCCCCTCTCCCGGGGTTGGATTTTGGTGGAGGCATTCAAACCGCGCGACGGCAAGCGCCGACTGCTGATTCGTCAGCCGATGCCGACCCTTGACCCCCCCAAAGGTTTGGGGATCTGTGAGTCTGGAGGGGTTTCTCTGTGGGTCTGGGGGTCTGTCTCTGGGGGTCTGGCTGAGTCTGGGGGTCTTTGTGGGTCTTGGGGTGTGTAAACCTGAGGGTTTCTCTGGATCTGGGGTCCTTTCTGTGAGTCTTGGGGTCTCTCTGTGAGTCTTGGGTTCTCGCTATGAACCTGGCAGTCTCTGTGGGGGTCTGTCTTGTGAGTCTGCGGGTCTCTGTGGGTCTGAGGGCCTCTGTGAGTCTGTGGGTCTCTGTGTGAGGCTGTGGGTCTCTATGTGAGTCTGTGGGTGTCTATGTGAGTCTGCGGGTCGCTATGTGAGTCTGTGGGTCTGTATGTGAGTCTGTGGGTCTCCACGTGAGTTTGTTGGTCTCTATGTGAATCTGTGGGTCTCTGTGTGAGTCAGTGGGTCTCTGTGTGAGTATGTGGGTCTCTATGTGAGTCAGTGGGTCTCTATGTGAGTCTGTGGGTCTCTATGTGAGTCAGTGGGTCTCTATGTGAGTCAGTGGGTCTCTATGTGAGTCTGTTGGTCTCTATGTGAGTCTGTGGGTCTCTATGTGAGTCAGTGGCTCACTCATCGAGTGTACAGGCTCCTTGCCAAGCACACTAAGCCACCGGCGTGCGGACAGCAATAAATCATTTAATAAATCTGCGTGAAGCTTTGAGTGTGACCCACAGCGCGGTGCCGGCCACCCACCCCCTCGTGTGCCGTGGCGATCGGACGATTCGCCCCAACAATCTGTTAATGCTACACGGGGGATCTTTTGGCAGGGGGGGGGGGAGTGGGGGAGCTTAGCAATGCATGTCCAGCTTCTTGGTTCTTTCGGTAAAGTCACGTAGAAGGGAAGTGATAAAATAATAAAAATACAACATGATAAAATAATTCTCACGACGTTTCGGCCACACGCAAGCAGCCGTCCTCAGGTGAAGAACAGGTCTGTGTCCAGCTGTTGATTGTGGTTGCGTTGCCTCCTGCTACACTCGGCGTGGGCCCCCCGCTCTCAGCCCGGCACGGCGTCACTGCTGCTGGGGAGCTTTTCAGATGGGGACCAGACTGGGCGCATTCCACGCCATCTGGTCAAGGGCCATTGTGAAATGAGCCTTCTGCCTGGGCGAGGCTCTGCTGTTAGCGGAGCGATGGCAGGGGCGGTGTGGTGGTAGGGGTGGTGTGAATGGTAGGGGTGGTGTGGATGGTAGGGGTGGTGCGGTGGTAGGGGTGGTGTGGATGGTAGGGGTGGTGTGGTGGTAGGGGTGGTGCGGTGGTAGGGGTGGTGCGGTGGTAGGGGTGGTGTGGGTGGTAGGGGTGGTGTGGATGGTAGCGGTGGTGTGGATGGTAGGGGTGGTGCGGTTGTAGGGGTGGTGCGGTGGTAGGGGTGGTGTGGATGGTAGGGGTGGTGTGGGTGGTAGGGGTGGTGTGGATGGTAGGGATGGTGTGATGGTAGGGGTGGTGTGGTGGTAGGGGTGGTGCGATGGTAGGGGTGGTGTGGATGGTAGGGGTGGTGTGATGGTAGGGGTGTGCGGTGGTAGGGGTGGTGTGGTGGTAGGGGTGGTTCGGTGGTAGGGGTGGTGCGGATGGTAGAGGTGGTGCGGGTGGTAGGGGTGGTGTGATGGTAGGGGTGGTGTGATGGTAGGGGTGGTGCGGATGGTAGGGGTGGTGTGATGGTAGGGGTGGTGTGGATGGTAGGGGTGGTGCGGTGGTAGGGGTGGTGCGGTGGTAGGGGTGGTGTGAGTGGTAGGGGTGGTGTGAGTGGTAGGGGTGGTGTGAGTGGTAGGGGTGGTGTGGATGGTAGGGGTGGTGCGGTGGTAGGGGTGGTGCGGTGGCAGGGGTGGTGTGGGTGGTAGGGGTGGTGTGGATGGTAGGGGTGGTGTGATGGTAGGGGTGGTGTGGGTGGTAGGGGTGGTGTGGATGGTAGGGGTGGTGTGGATGGTAGGGGTGGTTGTGGATGGTAGGGGTGGTGTGGGTGGTAGGGGTGGTGTGGATGGTAGGGGTGGTGTGGATGGTAGGGGTGGTGTGGATGGTAGGGGTGGTGCGGTGGTAGGGGTGGTGCGGTGGTAGGGGTGGTGTGGGTGGTAGGGGTGGTGTGAGTGGTAGGGGTGGTGTGAGTGGTAGGGGTGGTGTGAGTGGTAGGGGTGGTGTGAGTGGTAGGGGTGGTGTGGGTGGTAGGGGTGGTGTGGATGGTAGGGTGGTGTGATGGTAGGGGTGGTGCGGTGGTAGGGGTGGTGCGATGGTAGGGGTGGTGCGGTGGTAGGGGTGGTGCGATGGTAGGGGTGGTGTGGATGGTAGGGGTGGTGTGATGGTAGGGGTGGTGCGGTGGTAGGGGTGGTGCGGTGGTAGGGGTGGTTCGGTGGTAGGGGTGGTGCGGATGGTAGGGGTGGTGTGAGTGGTAGGGGTGGTGTGAGTGGTAGGGGTGGTGTGATGGTAGGGGTGGTGCGGATGGTAGGGGTGGTGTGATGGTAGGGATGGTGTGATGGTAGGGATGGTGTGATGGTAGGGGTGGTGTGGTGGTAGGGGTGGTGTGGTGGTAGGGGTGGTGTGGTGGTAGGGGTGGTGTGGTGGTAGGGGTGGTGCGGATGGTAGGGGTGGTGTGGTGGTAGGGGTGGTTCGGTGGTAGGGGTGGTGCGGATGGTAGGGGTGGTGTGGTGGTAGGGGTGGTGTGGTGGTAGGGGTGGTGTGGTGGTAGGGGTGGTGTGGATGGTAGGGATGGTGTGATGGTAGGGGTGGTGCGGATGGTAGGGGTGATGCGGTGGCAGGGGTGGTGTGATGGTAGGGGTGGTGTGATGGTAGGGATGGTGTGATGGTAGGGGTGGTGTGGATGGTAGGGGTGGTGTGGTGGTAGGGGTGGAGTGGATGGTAGGGGTGGAGTGGATGGTAGGGGTGGTGCGATGGTAGGGGGTGGTGTGATGGTAGGGGTGGTGTGGTGGTAGAAGCGGTGCGATGGTAGGGGTGGTGCGGTGGTAGGGGTGGTGCGATGGTAGGGGTGGTGCGATGGTAGGGGTGGTGTGATGGTAGGGGTGGTGTGATGGTAGAAGCGGTGCGATGATAGGGCCGGTGTGGTGGCAGGGGTGGTGTGGATGGCAGGGGTGGTGTGGATGGTAGGGGTGGTGTGGTGGTAGGGGTGGTATGATGGCAGGGGTGGTGTGGTGGTAGGGGTAGTGTGGTGGTAGGGGTGGTATGATGGCAGGGGTGGTGTGGTGGTAGGGGTAGTGTGGTGGTAGGGGTGGTGTGGTGGTAGGGGTAGTGTGGTGGTAGGGGTGGTGTGGATGGTAGGGGTGGTGTGGTGCTAGTGGCGCTGGCACTGAGTGTTGAGCTTCTTCACAGGGACGTGATGAGTGCTCCGTTGCCCAGGAATCCCCGCCAGACCGTCCCCCACCCCCGCGCAAACCGTCTTCAGAATGAATAAATAAGTAAGCGCACACCTTGACTTAAAGCTTTCGTGACTGCAGGAATTCATATTCTTGGTTCTTTCGGTAAAAGTGACGTAAATAGAAAACTAAACTAAAAGGGGAAAAAAACGCGACGTTTCGATCACGACACAAGCGGCCTGATGAAGGCCGCTTGTGCCGCGATTGAAACGTCGTGGTTTTTTTATTTTTTTATTTTCTATTTACGCGACTTTACCGAGCGAACCAAGAATATGAGTATTACGAATGTTTGTAACTCCACGCGGCGCGCTTTTCGTGAAATTGGAAGGGGCGCGCGGGAAACCGTCGTGCAAGCGTGTTCAAGGCGGCGCAGCCACAGTTGCCCAAGCTCTGTCGGCCTACGTTGGGGTCGTTTGTCCAACGCCGTTGAACGAGCATTTGGAGATGCGGGGAGGAAACCGGAGTGCCTGGAGAAAACCCCCCACGCGAGTTGGGGGGCGGGGTGGGGGGCGGGGTGGGGGGCGTGGGGGGCGGGGTGGGGGGGCGGGGTGGGGGGCGTGGGGGGGGCGGGTGGGGGGCGGGGTGGGGGCGGGGGTGGGAGGCTGAACAAAGGAATCTTGGCGGTAGCTCTGTGATATCCGCTTCTGTGCGCCGTTTCTCTCGTAAGACGGGGGGAGGGGGGGGTTTGAGTAGCATTTGACCCTGCGGTTGACCCTCTGGGTGAGTACCGGTTGACCCTCTGGGTGAGTAGCGGTTGACCCTGCGTTTGACCCTGTGGGTGAGTATCGATTGACCCTGCGTTTGACCCTGTGGGTGAGTATCGATTGACCCTGCGTTTGACCCTGTGGGTGAGTATCGATTGACCCTGCGTTTGACCCTCTGGGTGAGTAGCGGTTGACCCTGCGGTTGACCCTGCGTTTGACCCTCTGAGTGAGTATCGATTGACCCTGCGTTTGACCCTCTGAGTGAGTAGCGGTTGACCCTGTGGTTGACCCAGTGGTTGACCCAGCAGTTGACCCTCTGAGTGAGTATTGATTGACCCTGCGTTTGACCCTCTGAGTGAGTAGCGGTTGACCCTGCGGTTGACCCAGTGGTTGACCCAGCAGTTGACCCTCTGAGTGAGTAGCGATTGACCCTGTGGGTGAGTAGCGGTTGACCCTGTGGGTGAGTAGCAGTTGACCCTGCGGTTGACCCGGTGTTGCCCCCAGGTCCACCTGCAGACGCAGCAGGAGGTGCGGATGCGCATGAGCTCCATGGCGGTGCACGTGGTGAGGACGCAGGGCGTGCTGGCTCTCTACAACGGACTGAGTGCATCGCTGTGCCGCCAGGTACCATCAGCTCATCGCTGCCGCGACCCCAAATCCTGACCCTGAACCTTGACCCTGAATCTTGACCCTGAATTGTGACCCTGAATATTGACCCCGAATCGTGACCCCGGATCGTGACCCCGAATCGTGACTCCTTAATTGTGACCCCGAATCGTGACCCCGAATCGTGACCCCCAAATCGTGAACCCGAATCGTGACCCCGAATCCTGACCCTGAATCGTGACCCCGGATCGTGACCCTGAATCGTGACCCTGAATCGTGACCCTGAATTGTGACCCTGAATCGTGACCCTGAATTGTGACCCCGGATCGTGACCTTGAATCCTGACCTTCAAATCGTCCGATCAAACTATAGCCATCCCACGCCCCCCCCTCCCCGCCCGGCCCCCCATTTTGCCCATCATCTCTCCTCCCCCCTCTCCCCCCCTCGGCGCGGGTTCTTACCCATCCGCACGTGGCCCATCAACCCCGGCTCGCTGCGCCGGGGTGACGCCCACCCCCGCCGGTTGCGTAACCGTTGCGTAAGCGACCGCCACCGGAACACGACCGCCGATGTCGCGAGACGGTGACGGGGGGCCCCCCCCCCACCGCCCCCTTGGCTGTCGGCCAAAGGGGGTGGTGTGGGGTGGGGTGGGGTTGTGGAGGGTTGTGGCGTGCGTCCGTAATTAATGAAGTGGTTTGGTGGTGGAGTTGGGGGGTTGTGATGGGGGGAAGTTTGTGGGCACCGGGCCGAGGAGAGAGGGAGTGCCGGCGATTAGCCCCGCGGGGATTTCGTGCGAGCACGGGGACGCTCAGCCGCGTGGTGCGAGATGTTGGCTACCTCGCCTGGTGTACAGGAGGACGTGGGTTCGATCCCGACTCTGACGCCTGCTGCTGTATATTTGGAGTTTGCGTGTCTCTCTCTCTCTCATCATCATCACGGTGGCTAGGAGATGTTGGCTACCTCGCCTGGTGTACAGGAGGTCGTGGGTTCGATCCCGACCCCTGACGCCTGCTGCTGTATATTTGGAGTTTGCGTCTCTCTCTCCGTGGTCGCGTGGGTTTTTCTCCCGGTCCTCCGGTTTTTTCCCCTCCACATTTAGAATCAACGTCACGCGTCCAGTATTTGGCTGCGATAAATTTCCACGCGATGACAATGGCACTTCGATGAGTTGCCATTTGTGGCCAGGTCGCTTCTGAAAAAATTAACCCGTAAAAACAAAGTTTTTCACTATAAATTCTTTATATGCGTGGCGGCTAGAGTCCTCTCGTCCTCTGGCTTGAGATGGCTGCCACCTATGGGTCAGATGATTGCCTGCCACCATTAAGCAATTGGTAATTAAATATAAAAAAAAATTCCTAAAAAGTGTAAAATTTTGGAAGAAAATTTTCACGAAAATGCCTTGTGACGCACAACGAGTCTGTGTGCAAAATGTCAGCTCGATTGGATCACGGGAAGTGGGTTAGAAAACGACCGAAAGATTTGCACGGTCGTAAGCGCGCAAGCAAGCAAGTGAACTTAATATAAAGGATTTAAAATAGCTACATAGCTCAGTGGGCTTTTCCTTGGTAAAATCAAAAAACTAGTTTCGTTTTAGTGTGGTGTGTTCTAACCACTATACCACCACCGCTCCCCTCCCCCCATGTCCATTATTGTGGGGAGCGGGAGTGGAGCTGAGTCACCGGGTTCGTAGCACGAGTTCGATTCCCGCTCACGGCCAACATTGCGGATGATTATTTGAACCGGTCCCTGCGCTTCCCCCGAGGTCGAATTCGGCCTCAAATGAGTACCTGGTGCGGTGGGTAAAACGTAGTCAATGGGGAGACAAAGGCGGCCGGGCTTGATTTTGGCCCGCTGATCGTGGAACAGCACTCGCCCCGACAGTCGTTGAGGCTACACGGGGGACCTTTGTCTCTGTGCGCGCAGCTCACCTACTCGCTGGCCAGGTTCGCGATCTACGAGCGAGCGCGCGAGTTCGTGGGGAGGGACGGTCGGAACCCCCCCTTCCACACCAAGGTGTTCATCGGCGCCCTCGGGGGTGAGAGCGCCACTCGCCAAACTCGGCCAACCCGCTCACTCGCTTCGCTCGCGTCACTCTCTCGCTCGCTCGCCCACCCGCTCACTCGCCTGCCCACTCACTCGGCCACCAGCCCGCTCCACTCATCCGCCCGCCCACTCACTCGCCCGCCCGCTCACCCACTCGCTCGCTCACGTTCGCTCCAGCCCGCTCACTCACCCGCCCCGCTCATTCGTCCACATCTCTCACCGCGCTCACCTACCCGCCTCACCCACCCGCCTCACCTACCCGCTCACCCACCCGCTCACTCGCTCGCTCACTCACTCGCCTGCCGCTCACTCACCCACCCACTCGCTCGCTCGCTCACTTTCCGCCCCGCTCACTCGTCCACTCCCTCACCGCTCACCTACCTGCTCACCCCACCCGCCTCACCTACCCTCTCACCTACCCGGTCACCCACCCGCTCACTCGCTCACTCACTCACTCGCCTGCCCGCTCACTCACCCGTCACTCACTCGTCCGCTCCCTCACCCGCTCACCCACCCGCTCACCCACCTGCTCACTCACCCACTCGCCAAACTCACCTTCCCACTCAACTGCTGACCCACCCACTCGCTCAACTCACCCACTCGCCTCAACTCACCCAACTGCTCACTCACCCACTCACCAAACTCACCTTCCCACTCAACTGCTTACCCACCCACTCGCTCAACTCACCCACCCACTCACTCACCCACTCACCAAACTCACCTTCCCACTCAACTGCTCACCCACCCACTCGCTAAACTCATCCTCCCGATCACCCGCTCAACTCATCCGCTCGCTCACCCCAATCACCAAACTCACCCACTTCCCCCTCACCCATCCACTCACCCACCCACTCACACAGCCACACACACAGCCACACACCCACTCACTCACCCAACCACTCGCTCGCCCACTCCTTTGCTAGCTCACTCACCAAACTCACTCACCAAACTCACTCACCCTCTCGCTCACCTGCTCGCTCACTTACTCACCCACCCTCTCACTCACTCATTCACTCACTCACTCACTCACCAAACTCACTCACCCTCTCGCTCACCTGCTCGCTCACTTACTCACCCACCCTCTCACTCACTTATTCACTCACTCACTCACTCACCAAACTCACTCACCCTCTCGCTCGCCCTGCCGCTGTGGCTCGTGTGTCCGCACTGCAGGCTTCAGTGGGGGCCTCATCGGCACGCCGGCTGACTTGGTGAACGTACGGTGAGTCCACAGCCCTGGCGCGGGGTGAGCGAGGGGGCGAGTTGGCGGTTCATCGAGTGAGTGGGCGAGTCAGCAAGCGAGTGAGTGGGCGAGCGGGTGAGGGGTTGAGTGGAGGAGTGGTTTTGTGGGTGGAGGACGTGAGTGGTGTGAGCGAGTGAGTGATTGGTTATGTCGGCGGAGTGGATGAATGAGTGGGTCGGTGGGTGAGTGAGTAAGCGGGGTGAGCGGCTGAGTGAATGGGTGAATTCGTAAGTGAGAGGTTTAATGAGTGGGTGAGCTAGTAGGTTGGTGAGTGAGTGAGCGAGGGGAGTGGGTGAGCAAATAGGTTGGTGAGTGAGTGGGTGAGTGAGTAGGTTGGTGAGCGAGTGCGTGGGCGAGTAGATTGGTGAGTGAGTGAGCGAGTGAGTGAGTGGGTGATCGAGTAGGGTGGTGTGTGAGCGAATAGGTTGGTGAGCGAGTGACTGGGTGAGCGAGAAGTTTATGTGTGGGAGAGTAGGTTGCTGAGTGAGTGGGTGATGCGAGTGAGTGGGTGACAGTAGGGTGGTGGGCGCGTGATTAGGTTGGTGGGGTGTTTCACTCGGCTGTGTATGGGGGAGCGGTAGTGCAGTGGTCACCGCACTGTGCTGCAGACACGGTGGCCCCAATCGGATTCCCACTCACGGCCAATATCGGTGGGCATTTTCTTAACCATTCCCTGGGCTTCATGGGTGCTGGTCGCGAACAGGCACTTGCCCCAGCAGCTTGTGCAGGCTACATGGGGGGGACCTTTGTCTGTATCTGTGTGCGTCTGTGTGTGCATCTGCAGGATGCAGAATGACATCAAACTGCCACTTGACCAGCGACGCAAGTAAGCTCTGACCCTTGACCCCCCCCCTCCTCCACCTTTGACCTTCTGGGTAGGGGCATTATTCATTTTTCATAATTAAGCTCTTGAGGTTGCAATGGCGCGTGACCAGTCCGTGCCTATCCCGAGGTGTTCCACCAACCCCTCACTCTCACAGTGCAACGCTAAAGCACAGTGCTAGCTGCCACCACCACCACCGTGACAATCACCACGATCACTGCCAGCATTATCGCCATCACCACCATGGCTAGCACCTCATCACCATCACGATTGTAATCATCAGCAATACCAGCATGATCATCATGATCATTATCATGACCACCACCATCATACTCGCCACTCTCACCACTATCACCATTCTAGATTTGAAGCTTTCGTGACTGCAAGGATTCATATTCTTAGGTTTTTTCGGTAAAGTCCCGTAGGCTGATACAGCTGTCGTGGCTGTGTGACGGTTCCACCTGAAGATGGAAGCTTGTGTTGCCTCCGAAACGTCGTGATTTTTTATTTTATTTTACTTTTATTAATTTTAATGTTTTACCTACGTGACTTTACTGGAAAAAACCTAAGAACACTATCACCATCACCACCTGAACCGTCACCACCACCACCACCCACCACCAACCACCGCCACCATTGCCGAAAGCCCACGGCAGTTATTGCCATGGGTTTGGCCCGATACAATTTCTTGACGGTCGGTGCGAGATCACGTTTCGCGACGTGACGACCATTGCCCGCGAACCTCGCGATCGCGTGTCGCGAATGATTAGATTGTTGCTGCCCGCTGCTGCTGCTGTTGTTGTTGTTTTCCGTGCCCCTAACCGAATCTGTCCCGGCATTAATAGCGGTCCGCTCGGAGCTTCTCCTACGGGGGAGGGGGCGGGGGGGCGGGGACCTTTTCTCCAGTGCCGAGTTGCTTCGAACGATAATGAATAGGCTTTAAACCCCCCTTGAAGATGTCCGCAGGAATCAAGTTGATGCCGCCTATCGCACGGCAACCGAGTCTGCGTTCACCACACGGGCTTTTGTGCGGTGACTTACGACACGCCGAGTGGGGGGGGGGGGGGGGGTAGGGGGGGGGGGGGGGGCGATGCACACGACCCCAACGAGTTTGAGCCGCACACGCGACACTTGCGTGCCATTGGACCTCCCGATAACAACAAACAACTCGGTCCGTAAATGGGAGTGACGTCCAGAAGCACAAACGACGCCCGCTGCGTGGGCTCCCGATTTACCCGCCGCGTCCGTTCGTGTGTCAACCGACCGTCAGAGGTCGGTGACCAATCAGAGGGTGGTCCCTCCCCACCCCCCCCCGCCCCCCCCCGCCCCCCCCACCCCCCCGAGCGAGCGGAGCTTCGTGGAAACGCGGCGCGCGGCGAACCCGGCGACTTCGCCGGTGATGAGCAACCACATGGCCCCTTCTGATACCGACGCCGCTGTCGGCAGGTGGGTGACGATGATGGCGGCGGTGGTGGTGGTGATGGTGGTGGTGCGGCGATGGCGGTGGTAGTGGTATCAGTGGGTGGCGGTAATGGTGGTAGTGGTGGTGATGGCGGTGGTGGTAGTATCAGTGATCGTGGTGGTAGTGGCGGTGGTGGCGATGGCGGTTGTAGTGGTATCAGTGGGTGGCAGTGGTGGTGATGGTGGTGGTGGCGGTTGTAGTGGTATCAGGGGTGGTGGCAGTGGTGGCGGCGACGTTTGGCCTCGTGAGTCCAGTCGGCGTCGGCACGGCGTGTGGGAGCCATGTGGTTTTAATTGCCGAGGTTACGCAGCGTCCAGTACAGCCGTTCCCCCACATCTCCCCGCGCTCTCCTCTCGCCGTGTAACAGTGCGAGGTTTCACAACGCCGCTCTGTCTCTCTCTCTCGCTCTCTCTGCGCGAGAAGTGTTTTCGTTTCTGTGCCCTTTTGTCGTGGTGGGAGCTGCGGTTGACGCGCCCCTCACGGCCGCCGACAACCAGCCCTGGGCCTCCCCCCCCCCCCCCCCCCAGGTCGGCTCGGCCTCAAAACGAGTATCCAGTGGGGCGCGTAGTGCATCAGCACGGCCCCAAACCGTCGGTAACGGGCTGTGCGTGTGTTGGCCGTCTGCGTGTCTCTCTACAGCTACAAGCACGCCATCGACGGCATGTACCGGGTGGCCAAAGAAGGTGAGCCCTACGGTGCCACCGATCGGCACGCCACGCCATGCCACGCGTGAAGCACAAAGACAAAGATCCCCCCGTGTGTATAGCCTTTAACAGACTGTCGGGGCAAGTGCTGTTAGCGAGCAGCACCTATGAAGGCCGGAATGGTACACGAAGGGGGGCGGGGGTGGCCAGCACCACGCCCCCCTCCGCCTTTGTCCGCACAAGGTACTCAGTTGAGTTCGATTCCCGCTCACGGCCAACACCGGTGACGATTATCTGAACCGGTCCTTGGGCCTACCTCTATGTCGACTCGGCCTCAAATGAGTACCTGGTGCGGCGTGTAAACATCGCCACTGGGGAGACAAAGGCGGTCGAGCGTGGTGCTGGCTACTCGCCCCATTATGTGCGTGCCGGCCTTCATGGGTGCTCGCTAACAGCACTTGCCCCAATATCCTGTTAAAGCTATACTGGGGATCTTTGCCTTTGTTTTGCCCTCCCCCTGTCCCTGCGTCTTGTGACCCCGTGTCCCCGTGTCCCCCGTGTTCCCATACTTGTCTTCACGTCTGACCCCGTGTCTTCACGTCTGACCACGTGTCTCCACGTCTCTGTGTCCCCCCCCCCCCCGTGTCCTTGTGTCTCCGTATACCCCCAATGTCCCTACGCCTGACCCCGTGTCTCTGTGTTGCCCCAAGTGTCCCCTACGTGTCCCCCCCGTGTCCTTGTGTCTCCGTATACCCCCACGTCTCCAAGTCTGACCCCGTGTCTCCATGTCCCCCCACGCGTCTCCCCGGCAGAGGGCATCAGGAAGCTGTTCAACGGCGCCACGATGGCAGCGAGCCGCGGGGCGCTGGTCACGGTGGGACAGGTACGGCCACTACCGCTACCGCGATTCTGCGGCGTGCGTCTGTGCGTGCGTGCGCGTGTATCTGGACGGGGAGCGGAAGTGTAGCGGTTAGCGCCACCGCCCTACGAAGCCGGCGACCCGAGTTCGATTACCCGCTCGCGACCGATAACAACGGCGATTATTTGAACCGATCCTCGGCCCGCCCTCGGTGAACTCTGTTGCAGCATCTGTGGGGAGACACAAGCGTGGTCCAGGCGTTGTTGTTGACTCGGTCCACCTCCCTCACGTGTCGTGCCGGCCTCCATAGGTCCCTGCCCCAACAGTCTGGTCAAGGCCATTGCTGGAGGATCATCGTCTCTGTGTGTGTGTGTGTGCGCGTGGTGTGTCGTGGTGTGTGTGTGTGCGCTGTGTGTGTGTGGAGGTGTGTGTATGGCCCTGTGTGTGTGTGTGCGTGTGTGCGTCCCTGTGTGTGTGTGAGCGTGGTGTGCGCGCGTGTGTGGCGTGCGGTGTGTGTGGTGGGTGTGTGCGTGTCTGCATCCCTGTGTGTGCCTGCGTCCCTGTGTGTGTGTGCGTGTGTGTGTGCGTGTGGCGTGTGTGCGTGTGTGCGTGCGTGTGTGTGGTGCGTGTGTGTGTGTGTATGCGTGTGTATGTGTGCGTGTGTGTGCGTGTGTGGTGCGTGCGTGTGTGTCCGCGTGTGTGTGTCCTTGTGGTGTGTGTGCGCGTGCGTAGCTCTCGTGCTATGACCAGGCCAAGCAGCTGGTGTTGGCGACGGGGCTCATGGGAGACAACATCACAACGCATTCC